TCGCGACTTGACTTAGAGAAAATGGGGATCAGGCCGGAACTTCATCCTATATCCAAAGATTCTGGAAAAATGTACTTGCCACCAGCAACTTTTAAAATGAATAAACAGGAGAAAAGCATGTTTTTTTGAAGTTTTGAAGGAGGTTAAGGTGCCCGATGGTTATGCTTCTAATATATCAAGATGTGTTCATTTAAAACCAGCAAAGCTCGTTGGCCTAAAAAGTCATGATTATCATGTTTTGATGCAGCAACTACTACCTGTGGCATTGAGGAAAACTTTACCAAAGTCTGTTCGTGTTCCTTTGATGAACTTAAGTAAATACTTTAGAGAACTTTCCTCAAAGGTAATTAATCCATCGGATGTGCTTCGCTTGGAGAAAGAAATTGCTGTTACACTTTGTCACTGGAAAGAATATTTCCACCTTCCTTCTTTGATGTGATGGTGCATCTAACTATACATTTGGCTAGTGAAGTTCGGCTTGCTGGACCAGTTCACTATCGATGGATGTACCCGATCAAAAGGTAACTATTATTTCTAGTAATTTTATCTTGTTACTTAGCACTTAGTGTTTTTTTTATACTTTTTAATTAATATTTCTTTTTGAAATTGATACGAAGGTATTTAGGTACATTGAAATCATATGTCCAAAATAGAAGTCGGCCTGAAGGTTCTATAGCTCAAGGATACATAGCTGAGGAATGCTTAACATTCTACTCTATGTACCTAGATGACTACTTGGATTCAAAATTCAATTTCAAGAGTAGAAATGGGGACACAACTGAAAGTGCAAAGCCAGGACTGGATGTATTTACAATGAGAGGTCGCGCTCAGCTACGTATAATGAAAGGTACTCCAAAGAAATTCGATAATGATACTTTGAAGAAGGCACACCAGTATGTCTTGTTTAATTGTAAAAAGGTCAAACCATACATTGAGTAAGTGTGATTTATTATTCATTTTAAAATTCCATTGTTTTTTATTTTTCTTAAATGCTTATGAACTTTGATTAACTGATTTTAACCTTCTTACATACGTCGGGTTATGTGTTGAATATGTAGGCAGCACCTTAAATTGGTAAAAGAAAAATATCCTCGTGAATTAAGAAATCGGATTGAACGTATTCACAGTGAAGGATTCGCTGAATGGTTTTCTAGTCATGTAAGATATTTTCTTTTTGTTTTTCAGATTGTTAGAGTAGTTGTTACAATTTGTAGCTTATACATGTTTACTGTTTTGTAGGTCAAATATTAGCAATTATCTGAAAAAGATCCAATATGTCAAGATTTGAAAAACCTTGCTAGAGGACCTACTCTCATAGGACTAGTATATGCAAAATATGTTGTAAATGGTTTTAGGTTTCAGACTCGGGAATTGGAGCAGGATAGGAAAACTCAAAATAGTGGAGTAACTGTCAAGGCGACTACCTCGAGTTTTTCTAGTACAAGGGACCAAAATCCAATAGTAAGTGAACTACATTATTATGGAGTTTTGACAGATATTATTGAGTTGGATTATTTAGGACGTAAAGTTGTACTCTTTGGATGTGACTGGGTTTCAGAAGGAAAAAGGTTGAAGCAAGACAGTGATGGGTTTGCATTGGCTAATTTCACAAATGTTGAAAAACACAATGAGCCATTCATCTTAGCATCTCAAGCAGCACAAGTATTTTATATACCAGATCCTGTTCATAAAGAGTGGCGTGTTGTCATTTCTGCTCCAGCTAGAGGTGACTATAATATGGAGCCAATGGCTAATGTTGAAACGTACCTAGAAAGCAAGTTATGAATTCCGACAGCAGAAAATGATGGTAATGAAGTCTCATGGGTTCGTGAAGGTGTTGGTAAAGATGAAGTTGACATTCCAGCTAGGGAGGTAAATCATATTCTTTGTTACATTAAATTGGCTTGATTGTTGAATTAGCATTGTGTAGTATACTCATCTGAAGCAGTGTAACTCTTTTCACGAGTGGTGTCAGTCTAGGGAGTAGCGTTGATCTTTGGTACTAATGGTTAAATGTTGCTCCGTAATATGAAATGTTAGGAGGATGGACATGATGATGAATCTGACAAATCGAGTTTAATTATGAAGAAGAAGAAGGGATTAAAGAGGTTTGTTTTGTTTTATCACTTCTCATTCTCTCGCAGGCTTTTAAAAGCTCATTTTCAATGAGTCTGAATTTTTTGTATTCGGGTTTGGACATTGTAGGAGGAAGAAGATGTGACGATACTTAGGCGTTTGCTGCAAAAGCGCCTCTTATTTGGCCATTCATATATAGTTCTTTTCCATGAGATAAGTTCACAGAGGAGAGGAACATATAATCCTGTGTTTTTATTGGTTTTATCCCAGTTGAAGTAATCATAAAGATAGGTCATATTGTAGTTTCAGTGTTTCACCAGCCATTCAAATAAGATGTTTTGATTTTCATGTAATTCTTTCCCATGTGCAAAATGATGCAATCATAAGTTAGTAAAAGGGATGCCTGCTTGTTTCGTTATTTTGCAACAGAGGTAATAGATAATTTATATAAAATCGTGTAGTTTTAATATATTAAACCTAATGAAATGAGGAGATTTTACTGATACATCTTGTCACCAAAGTCCAATTTACAACATCATTGCAATGCCATGAAAACATGACTAAGATATAAGTGGCCCATAGTAGAAGAAAGTAAATAGAAAGGAGGTTTGCTTTCAGAGGATTGAAAGTTAATCCGGGCACTAATCAATATGTACATACAAGTAGGATGCACTAAGATACTTTTAATATCGACACAATAAAGATTCCTTTGAGACAAAGAATCAAACAGTTTGCAAGCAACTTGCTCTGCTGCTATCTTTGTTTTTACTCCGTCCGTAATTGCTCTATATTACAACCCAACAAAAGTATAAGAAACTACATGACAGAAAGAAATCTTCATGCTCCTACCGCATCTCAAATCCTGCTGCTTCACAACTCCGAACAAATTGACTAATAACTTCAACTTATTTCTTTCCCTCTTTCGGCTCTTCTTTTCATCAATTCTCTTGTTCTTATTCTCTTCTTGATTAAGGTAAGAATTTCAGAGGTATTCACAGAGATTTCCGGTTGGGGGATTTGGATTTATTTTTTGAAAAGGGGGGATTAGGATTGGAGGCCGGAGAAGACGAAGCTTTGAGAAGAAAAGAGAAAATGCAAAGAATTTAAATTAATGGGATAGTCTCTCGATGGTCTTTAGAAGGAAGAAAAATACTATTTAACCCAAAGCCCTTCCATGACTGCAAAGTGGTCCTTCAAGTTGGTTAATATGTTTAATTTATTTTTTTATTTTATTTTTTTATATTTTCCATCCGTTTAATCCATATCATCTTTATGTTTATTACTTATTAGCTTCTAAAAATATAGTACTCCCTCAATCCCAAACTGGACAATAATTATGGGACAATAATTATGGGACGGAGGGAGTAATAATAATTTTATTTAAAACTTGTTTCAAGTCTACATAAAATTTCACAATTTATGCTTAATAAAGAGGTTGAGAATAATATTAATACTCCCTCCGATCTTAATAAGTGTTGTTTTAACAAAGTAAAAAAATTTTAAAATAAGTGCCGGTTTCTAATTCCAAAATTTACTTGTGACCCTCTTATCCTATCTCCAATCATTATTTAAATGATAGCAAGTAACAAATATATGACTAGTAAGTAATGATCACCAAGTATAGTATAGCACGTGTGCTAACATCATCAGCTATATATATTTACTAGGGCAAGTGATTTGTACATTTCATTAGTTTAATTAATTAGACTAAAAGACTATGACACTAAAGTAATGTATACTGATTACAAAGCTTCAACATTTTTTGCTTTTAATTCATGCATTTCCCTAGCTACAAGGTTTGAATCACCAAATTTGTGGTAATAAGAGGACATTTATGTTAGTGTATATAATTTGGGTATATATATGTATAATTAAATAGTTATTTCTTTTACTATGTATAATTACTACTCATAAGACATTTTGATTTTGTCCTATGTTTCACCTATGATATCTTTTTAATCGAAAAAAAAATTAAAAATGTATTTTCGTGTTCATCGTGTTCTCCTAATTATTATGAAGTGATTTTAAGATTTTTATTTCGATTAAAAAGTCATCATAGGTAAAACCTAAGACAGAATCAAAATGACTTATAATAAGGACCAGATGAGGTATTTTACATAAGAGCAACGATAGAGATAGTGAATAATTATAGTAAAAAAAAAACCTAATGAGTATCTAACATTTACATGTTCTAGAAATACTTTTTTGTTAGTTTATGAATTAATTAATTATTATTATTAGGTTTGATTTTACTCGAACTTCATAGAATAATTATAGATTTCAATAAATATGAAACTGTAGAACAAATTTGCGGTTCATTTTGAAATTTATGGGGTGGGAACTTAAAATATATAGACTTTGTTAACAAAATTTTTTGAAAACCAATAAATTTAAAAAGCCGAAAAAAAAAAATAAATCAGTGAGCTATTGAAAATTTTTTTTTCTTTTCATTTTTATTTTTGAGGGCGCCAAACTCAAAAATTTTAGAGATCTAAATCTGATCTATTTATAACAATGCCAAATCCATGCTCATCTATATCAATAAGCCCTAAGCTTCTGCCTCTATCATAGTTCTTCTTCTCTTGTGAAAAGGTCACAATATACTACTAATTCTCATTCAAAGTGGCCGGGATTACTCCAAGCCAATCTATATTATTATTCCCTAACCCCACTATTATCATAGTTCTACCCTTTATTTTGTGAAGGAATCACAATATACTGTTTAATTCCCATTGAAAGTGTGCCGGATTAATATTGCTTAGCAGGTACGTATAATCAAATCTACGAAATTAGCATAGTCTATATTGTGTTTTTTTGATGAATCGAATTAGCATAATCTGTAAATATTAATATTGTTTTAGTTTTGTGCGTTGATGGAAGTTTTTAAGGATTGGATAACACTTTTTTATCTTTTGTTCTCAGATATGCCGCCGAATACTAGAAAGCGTAAGACAATTTGCAACCTTCAAGATGAACCGATTGAAAACCCACCAAGTATGATTATTGTACAATACCCAAATTTTTTAATTTCACTGGACAACACAATATTTATTTTGTTGTTTCCACAGGGTTGACTCAGAGGCAGAGGATGAACCAAACACGCAAATTGCGGTCCCAAGAGTCAATGATGCTAAATAGGCGTGATACTGAAGCCGTAAGCAATGAACAAGAAGATGATGAGATTACTCATGAACATGAAAGTAGGTTCTTAGACTCACTGACCATGTTCTATATATATACATACATATATATATATATATATATATATTTGTAATGACTTTTCTAAACAAATTGATTTTATAGCATTCTCTTATGACGAAGAGACGGAAAACAACGACGACACGTTACAACATCAGGAAAAAGAAAATAGTAGTAAAAAAGGTTGTAAATCTTTCTCCACCTACTTGCCTGTTCATTTTTTCATTATGTTACATTGCCATATTGTCCTAATTAATTTAAAATTGTAGGAAAAAGAACTCGAGGTAAAACTATGATTTTGGCGACTTGGGGCTGTCCAGGGAATTTACCCCCCATAAAACTTGATTTTGATGATGAGTGGGAAAGCAATAGGTGAAAACCGAGGTCAATTTGGTGAATTCTTGGGCACTATAGCAAGAAACCATATGTACTATCCGATTCACATTAATGATTAGCGTAAAATCCACGATGAAGACAAGGAGGACATACTGGCTACCATTGCGGTACTATGAGCTCTTTCCCCTTATGATTTTCCATTTATATTTGGAATGTCGCTGTGTGTTTTAATTTTTCATTTTTGCAGGCATGATTTGACATCACCATGGCCGATACAGATTAGATTCTTACCTGCATGAATGCCTGGAAGAACTGGAAAAATCAACTTAAAAATGACTATTTCCTTCCCAATAAAGAGGTATCAAATTCAGTTGAATTGACTGATGACAGGGTGAATAAAGAGCAATGGGAAAAAATTCAGGCTTATTGAAATGATCCAAAAGTAGAGGTAATACTTCATTCCTTTTATGTCAAATATTGTATGCTTTTTATTGCAACTTCACCTTCATTATTACCCAAATATTCTTTAGGAACAAAGTCAAAAAAACCGAGAAGCAAGGGTACAAAAGTTAATGAATCATACTACTGGAAAGAAGCCATTTCGCCAAGTTAATCGTGACCTAGTAAGGCCCATGTCATATATATTTACATTGCAACTAATAGATTAAACTTTTGCATAGTTTACTGATCAATGAACTTATTATTAGGGAAAACAAAAAGGTCATCAAGCATCTCGTGCTGAATTAATGGGAAAGTGCTATAAGAAAGATGTTGGAAAATATTTAGTAAGGTTTTGTGATTTGTTTAACTTCTATCTACATTTAAATTTAGAAGGTTTAATGTTTTCTAAAATTATTTTTTTTTCCCGTAAATTACAGGATGGGTTTGAGCAGCGAAGGAATGAACTCCCTGAAGGCGCAGAAGACCCAGTCGGTCCAAATGACATATTTGCCCAAGTTGTTGGCCCAGATCCACCTGGACGGCTTCATATGATTGATATGGGTGTTTATTCATCCAATGCATCAACAAGTGTTTCAAAACGGCAAAAGTACAAGCGTGAACTTTTGGAGTATAAAAGAGAAATGGTAGTCATGAAAAATTCACTTGATGATATAAAGTCACAAATGACATCACAACAAAAAAAAAATCACCTCAAGATTCATTTATGTCTATTCCAACAGATCAACCTCTTCAGGTATTTATCTTTTTGCTTGATTGCAAGTCAAATGGATATAAGTGTATCTATTGGATTGTAAGTATTATTACAAATATCTCAATTTTTTTAAAGGTGAAGAACGATGTTCATATCAAGAGTTTAACTGATCCAACGAAAATTGTGGCAAAAGGAGTCCTTCGTAGCCTTGATCCAGATACTAAAGTAGGAAGAATTCCACTACGCCCTGACTGGTGTGAAGTTCATATAAATTCAGTGATTCATTCTGGTAAACGATTGGTCCGACCTTATGACTGGTTCCTAACTTTTGAAGATGCACTTGGTGTGTCTATTGCTTGGCCTTGCAACTTGGTATGTAACATGATACAAATTTAAATCTTGAATATTTTTAGCAGCACATTTTTATATTCTTATTCTATTTTTTATATATAATTTTTTATTTTTTTTTTGTTTTTTGGTTTTTTGGCATATAGGTGAAAGTTATTGAATGAAGGCAAGATTGGTGAATCAAGAATTTGAGCTCTTACCACCTTGGCGAATTTCTTTATAGTTATTGTCAAATAAAGTGAGAAACTAGGAAGTATTGGATTGGATGTTGCTTTGTAGTCTTTGAGAATGATTTTTAAGGTTTTAATTTTGTCATTTATATGAACTTCTGGAATATTAAGTGTGTTTTTCTCTATTGAAATGAAATTAGTATCATTTATTATTTTTAGTAGTTTTACCTTTCTTAATATACAAACAAACTAAAAATTCAAAAATGCATATTTATCTAAACTAAAGATATTTTCAATAGACTAAATTATGTCATATTAATATCTATTGTCACACTATTTATTGTGCATCGATATATATAACATACCATTATAACTTTACAAATGAAATTGTCACATTATGCGAATTATGTAGAAATTGTAAATTGTCTTAACAGACCATTTAACTGTACAATCTTTTGTGTATTAATATTTGAAAATAATGACATATTTTTTCAGTAGAAAAGGTCACTAGATATCAATCATATTACATCTTAAAATATTGCAATAAGTTATTTATTTAGACAGTTTATTATGTACCAACAAGTTTGAATTTTGACACCAAAAACTTTTAGAATAGGTTACATGTTTAGAGTTCTAAAAATGTCTACATAGGCTATTTATCTATACTATTAAATATGTACCAACATGTTTGGCTTTTGACTGCTAGAATTGTCATATTAACTTACTTTTATGCACTTTTAAACATGTGTTCATAGAATAGTTATCTATACATTTAACAATGTAGAAATATTTTGAAATACTTACACATTTACACGATAGAATATATCATCAAAAGTTGTTTATGTGACATCTAAATTGGACATACTGATGACCTGTTTAGACGATTTTTAATGTATAAAAAAAAAGAACTCATGAAACCTTAAAATGTTGTATTAAGTTAGTATCAGTGCATATAAAATGTCCTAATACCTTATGTATTATTACAATTAATCATATTAATATAAGTTCGGAACCCCGTATTACAATGACAACTGCAAATGTAGTAATACAATAATTAAATTACAACTCTTACTGTTGTGATACTGATGTTTTTGTGACGTTTTAAACCATTATCGTGACATTTAAAGGTGTCTTTATACGTTGGGGATCTATTGTTACCCCTACTTACACTACACTTTAAAGAAATGTAATAATAGAATAAAATGTCACTATATGTATTTTATCACAACATTTTAAAATGTATTAACAAAACATCTTTTTTGTAGTAGAAGTAGCCTTTTAATTATTTTCCTAGTAGGATTTAAATTTTAGTTATTTTAATATTTTTTGCAAATTCAATTAGGGTTTCCTTGAATTTGGACTTTGCTTTGTAAAGGCCCGTTTCTCCCTATAAATAGGGTGATTGGCCGAATTTTTTTAGGTGTGATTTGACGAATTTGATGATGAATCGATAAGCACGAGTGAAGTTTCGTTTGTGTTAATCTTTGTGATTAACTTTTGATGTGCAAAAGCTTGAATTTGGCTTCTTGCAAACTGCACGGCTACCCTTGTTCGAGATTTGGTGTTTCTCAACTTGGATGCTGAGTTCGTGGTCTTTTTGGAACAAATCGATGCGTTTCCATCGCAATGTGAAAATTTAATTGACACATTCTGATGGGATTCGTTCCGAGAACACTTCTTCCATCTTCTTGTCTACTATCTTTTGAATTTTCCATTCGATTCATCCTTGAATCAAAATATCCCCAGAGTCGTTGGTTGTCTTGGCGAGTAATAGATGGAACAAGAGCAAGTCTTGGTGCCGTAATTTGAAACAATCTTCTGAAAGTTTAGAGTCGTGCTCTGTTGAATCCTGCAAGAATTCATATCAATACTTTGTCTTGTTATTGTCACATTCTTGTATGATTTCTCCAATTACAGATACTTCATATCTTTCAATCATAAGACAATATTATAGTCTTGAAATTGATACAAGTATTTGAGGAGACAAAGATCAAAGATGATGGAAAACAACAAAGAAGTAATCTTACAGCATAGAAATTTTTTGGTGTGTTCAAGTTGTTTTTTCTACAGTTTAGTTCCGTAGTCAAGTTCTAAAGACAGATCTTGAAAAAATTTGGAGTATACTCCAACCAGTATACATCGGATAAGTTTTTTGTGTTGAATGCTTTCTCTTAAATTACCAAATTCGGAATGGACAAATCCATATATTAGTTTCAATATTTCTAGATTTATGTTTTTAATTTTGTATTAATTAAATCTAGTGCTGTGAAAAATTATGTGGATTAAGTTGTGTTTAAAGATCCTACAATAAATATTTGTTAGAGATTTTAAACTGAATTTGGTTGAAAAAAAAACATGCAATGAATTTCTCAGTTTTAAGGGAATGTGATAGATATATTATTATAGTTGTGTTGGAAAATTGGCTTTTAAGTGAATAGTTATTGTTCAAAGCTACTAAAATTAGTTTGAGAATTTCTAAAAACCAATTGTGTTGGAAAAACTAAACTATAACAATATTGTAATTTGATTGCATGTTAGAAATTGTTTTTTGTAAATGTGCATCAATCTTGACGTCAGTACACATAAGTCGATAGAAAGGTTGACGGATATTGGAATGTGCTATGTGTCACTGTTTGGTGCCGCGACATGTTAGTCGACTAGATTAATGTTGACAGAAAAGTCAACATCTATTACAATGTCAGACCGTTAAGTCTCGTCGACTTTCTCGTTAATTCTGATAGAATCGACAGAAAAGTCGACGACAGAAAAACATAACTAAATTCCAATAATTTTTGGGACAATTTTGGTTACGAAAATTTGATACTATGTATGAATTTAAATATTTTATGCATGAACGGTTCATATAATAATGTGAAAGTGTGGTTTTGATGAACCAAAATCGATGGTTTTTTATGAAAAGTCATAACTCTTTGGTTTTTAGTTGAAGAGATACGTACCTAGTGTTGTGCCTAGTGAGTTCAAACAAAAGGAGCCTAACAAAGTTTTGTCTATCGACTGTAAGTTGAAAGACACAATTGAAAGTATGGGATCATTGGTTCTAAATAAAAGAGAAATAAAAAAAATGTGTCCATCACTTCCAAGTGAAAAGACATGAGTTAAACTCTTGCCTGGTCATCAAAGTGACAGTTTAAGGTTTTAACCTTTAGTTGATAGCCAGCTATTACTTTTACATTAAAAACTCCTTTTTGAAGAGTGATTAATCTTGCAATTTGTTATGTTTATGATCAATGCATTTGATAGTGTTGTTATTCATGTGTTTGAACACTCTTATTATTCGTGACATGATAAATTAGTGTTAAACTATTGCATTTCTGTGTAAGGTATAAACTAATTTGTGTCAAACACCTTCATATAAAAATGTGAAACATATGCATAAACCATGGTTGCAAGATTACTTCCAAATAAACGTTGGGAGTTATTACTGGTACAACATTTTGTTGTATGTAAACTTAATAATTTTGAACTAAGGGATGCAAGAAATATTTTATCACTTTTATAGATAATTGCTCATATTTATGTGTAGCTTTATCTAGTAAAAATATGGATAAAATATTTGATACATTTTGCAAGTAAATCCCGAGTCTGAAATTACTCTAGTAGATAAAATGAACTAGTATTTAATAAGCAAAAAGTAATTTGGCTAAAAATACAAAATTCTATGTGTCATGACAATGTTATGCTAGTGAGTTGAAGTAGCCAAAAGGTTAGTGGAATAAATATTATTAAATAGTTGTCGTGTGTACAATGAAACTCCCTAAAGACTAAATGTCTCCATGTGAAATGTGGAAGGGAAGAAAATTGTATTTATCTAATATAAAAATTTCAAAAGTGACACTACATATTGTTGTGTTCCTAGTTGGGACCAAGAACACTTAAGTGTGTGGTTATATGAACACTAAAGTAGCTAAGTTACTTATCATTGATTATAATGTATTAATATAATCAATGGATGTGGATTCATTTAAAATTCGTTTTTAAAGTTTCTAAACCAAGTACCTAATGTATCATCTAGTGAACCTCTCAATTTCGAAAGTATAAGTGGTTCTATGAGTGAACCATAGAGAAAGACATTGATTTTCTGGTTTAAGCAAAGTCTAAAACTTATGAAAGTTCTCTTGCAAGTTTTATATTCTCAGGCTACTGTCTTCCTAGTGAGAACAATAAAAATACTATATTAAGTAAAACTTTATGATGGTTTTTGTAGAATAAGTTAAAAACAATGAGTTTTTTTGAATTTTAGGCTAATGCATTTTGAAAGAAGAGTTAATCATGGAATGGACTTGACATTCTAATGATGCATGTGTCCAAATTGATTTAACTTGAAAGGTTCTAAACTAGTACATTGTAAATGGTTTTTCCATTAGTAATGTGCTGTTGATAACAAGAGTCATCAATAGTATATCTGGACTTGAAGTGTCATGATTGCTTTGATAAGTTTGACTTGTATATTTTATGCTACTGGTTAGAAGTTTTCATTAAGTTTTTCATTTTCACCTGTTAAATATACAAAATATTATCTATTGGTGACTTATATGAAAATGTGTATTTGGAACTCTTAATACTTTGTGCTATGAACTGATAAAAAGATGTGTGTACTAGTGAAGTCTTGATTTGATTTTATACAATAGCATGATGATTGATCTAAGTTACTCTCGTATGTTGCTTTTATGTTGTAAATTGCATATATAAAAATCTGTGAGAGTATGTAATGTAGATGTTTGTTTTTGTATAAATATTTATGCTCAATGCACATACTAATTTTAAAAACGTGTAGTGGATACTAAGAAAATCCTTTTTCTACGTTCAAATTAAATGAGTTTGGTGAAAGAGATAATGTCTTAGTCGTTATACTGAAGGAAATAGTGGGGGTTTTTGCTCTTTCTTATTCATATGATGTTAATAAGGTACTAACAAAGTTGAAAATGAAGAAAGTTTGTACTCTCATAATTTGATATTTAACATTTGTGTTAAAT